AAACTTAGGTGATTGAAAATATTTATTGAATTTAAAAGTTTTTTTTTGAGTTCAATGAACCAAATCAAATTTCTCAAAAACAAAATATATGAACATGTGTAGGAGTGTGATTATGGGAAAAAGGGAATAGGGTTTGTTCATAGTATGGGGATGATATTTTAAAACTAATTAAAACAGAAAATTCCAAAACAAAAAACAATTTTATTTTAAAGTGGACACGACAGTGGTTTTTCACAAACCTTCGAAAAATGTTTGGCATCTTTGGAACATGTCATAAGAGTAATGTGAAGCTTTGGTCTGTTTTTATGTCATCTATTAATTACTCATCCCGTGATCCCTTTGCTCTCGTGATCCTTTTTTACTTTCTTTCCAAAACAAAATCTACCATTCAGTTCGAGGGTCGATAGTTGATATCAAATTTCAAACACGCGTAGTAGAATACTCCAGGAGAAAAAGGGTATTTCAATAAATCGAGATCACGTCCGAATGAGAGTTCATGAACTGTACAATTATGGTTCATAAAAGCTTAATAAAATTGATTGTTGTAGTTTGATTTGACTCAATTTGAATGACAAACTGAAAATTCAATCATCTAGCATATCAAACAAACATGAAGAATCGAGTCAAACGGCCACATGGAGCAAATTGAACCACTCCAAACCGACAGTTCAATCAATTCAGTTTGATGATTTGTCGTTTGCTTAATTCTAAGGAGGAAGTGTGAGATCGGGTCTAGCTTGTTTGCCCACCGAAAAGAAACAAGGAAAAATAGGTGAATATGCAAAAGAGATTTCAAATATAAATACTGTGAGTCTCATATCGGTTGAAGAGGGAAACAAAATATTCCTTAAAGTTTAGAAACTTCTCCAATGGATGAGACTAACGACGATACATAACAGGATAAAACGAACAATATATGCTAACAGTGGGCTTGAGCTGTTACAAATTTATTAGAGCCAAACAGCGGATGGTGTGGCAGCAAGAAAGTTGAGCCTCCAAGAGATGGATTTGTGTGAGATCCCGACGTGGAAACCTCTCTAGTAATATATGTTTACACTTTTTAAAACAAGTTCAAATATTTATTACTTATATTATATTTACATTAATGATTTTTTTAACTATATAATAGAAATTTCAATTTACTGATCTTCACGTCAATGTCGAGTTCATATGAGAATACTGACAAAAACGTCGATAAAGTCACGAAAATATAAACCCGTAATGAACGTGATATTAAAAGCTACTTTATTAATAACTAAAAAAACTAAAAGTAGTAATTAATTTGTGGAAGTACAAAATCCAAAGGAAAGAAATAAAATTGTGGCTTTTCGTTTTCATAGGTAACTTTATTGCATGCAAAAGAAGACGTGTGTGAGGAACCATACAAAAAAACACAAGTCCTTGTCATTTCTCTAGAACCATCCACACACCTACAAATTGAGAGAGCTCAAACTTTAGCGGACCCCGAGTTCCACTTGACCTAATTGGCCGATATTCAGATGTTTGAATCTCCATACTTCTTTTGTGGTAATAGAAAAAAATCGTTGAGTCAAAAACCGTCTATAAAATTAAGAAATTATATGTTAGTATAACGACCCGCTTTTTATACTAAAAACAAGATCATCACTACATGCATGACGTGACTAATACATGTGGAAAAGACCCATATATTTTATAAAACGTGTCATGGACTTAACTTTAAAAAATAAATACCTTTAGAACAATATAGTCGTAAATAGACAAGTTGAAAAACCCTGAACTAATCTAGGGGCTACTCAAACACTTTGGCCCTTGTAAAGAATATTTGTTCCTCTCTCCAACCAATGTGAGATCTCACTATCCACCGATGCTGGGCAGGAGAGGTTTACACACCCTCATACATAATGTTTTGTTCCCTTCTCCAATCAGTGTGGGATCCCACAATTCACCCCACTTGGAGGCTCAACGTCCTTCTAGCACACTGCTCGATGTCTAACTTTGATACTATGAGATCTCACATCGGTTGGAGTGGGGAACGAAGTATTTCTTATAAAAGTGTGGAAACCTCTCCCTAACACACACATTTTAAAACTGAGGCTGACGATGATACGTCTGTAACTCCCAAGTCCACCGCTAGCAGATATTGTCCATTTTGACTCTGCTAACAGCATCACAATTCTAAAACGTGTCTATCATTCTGCCAAAGCCTGACTGAGGAAGAATTACGGGGCGTAAAACAAAAAAATATGTTGATTCAGGTTGGGTATACTATATTTAATTTATAACGGAACCCTCGCCCTTAACCCATTAACTAAAAAGAAAAAATAAAAAGATAAGGTCATTCCATTTCGACAAAAGACCCACACCCAAGTTCCATAACTTTGAGTCTGCTATCCCGATCAAGATTTTCCTACCCCAGAGGGAAAAGTCCTTCCCTTTTTGGTCGGTTGTGGGCGAGGAGGGATTCGAACCCTCGACACTGTGGTTCGTAGCCACGTGCTCTAATCTTCTAAGCTACAGGCTCACCCCGTCTCCACTGGATCTGTTCCCGGGTACCCTAGAAAAAGGAACCTTTCCTCTCCCTAGCCATTTGCCATTTCGAGTTAAGAAGACGTGGAAGAGAACTTAATAAAGAATATATTTTTTTTTATAATATATTAGGTTTAAATGGAAGAATGAGGTGTAAAAGCCACTAAAATTTAAAACAAGGCTTACATCTGTTCAATCTTGAACCACATTAATTTTGATGTTAACATATAATTTGTTTTCTCTCTATCTTAAATTAAACATTTATATTTAACCACAAAAATTTAAAACATCCAACTAATATCTATTTTATCTTCTCCTTTATGACAAAAAAACACGTGGCACTATTCCCTGGTCCAACCTTTTCCAAATATTCTTTTTCTTTTGTTTTGTTTTCCACGTAGTTTTATAAAATATATTCTTTTTCAATTATTTATTTTATATTATAACCATCCAAATATAATTCAATAAATAACACATTAATTTTCATTCCCAACGTCATCATTCAAATTATCAACCTTAAATCATTAAGCTAAAAAAATATTTTAATTTCTCATTTTTTATATATTTTTTTACCAAAGGTTCACAATTAATTTTTATTTAGTTAGTTCTAAAAATTATTTTTAATAAAATTAAGATGATATTCTTAGTTAAATAAATAAATAAATAAAAGACGTATTCTATGCCACTTATTCATACTATTTTGACTTAAACTAAAAATTTGGATGCTCAAATTCTAAATATTTAAAATAAATGGTTATGCAAAATTTGAAAAATAAAATAAAATAAACTTAAAATTTTATAGAACGTAATATAAAGAAATTAATTTTGTGGTTAATATAATTGCATAATTTAAATATAAAGGATTGATTTTGAGTTATCAAGTTTTAATAGGGCCCACCCATGAACACCACTTGGCCCCACAGTATTTGTTTCCATAAATAAAAGATAATAGAAATAGAATCTCAATTTTATTTATAAAAAAAAAAAATCATATAAACAAATTATTTCAATTAATAAAGAAGGGGCAATGCAGCCAGAAGAGAAAGTAGACAAAAATAATAATTTTAATTCTAATAATAATAATAATAATAATAACAACAATAACAAAAATATAAAACGATACAGATTAAAATCGTTTTGTTGTACTAAGAGGTTGAGCTCAAAATTCAACAATAAAAAACACTTATTTTAGCTCGTCCAACAATTAAATTTAAGGTAGTTTTCTTTAACAAGAATTAAATAGGTTCGAAATTTTTAATTTTATAATTATAATTTGATTTGATTTTAGTATTTAAAAAATGATATCAAATTCAAATTTGACGAAAAGTATTGATAGTCTCGATTGGTCAATTGTCAATTTATAAATTATAAGTGATACTCAAATTCAATTATAATTATTCAATGATATCATTTTTTTTTTTTTGTCGATTTCTAAGGCACTTAATACTACTTTATATTAGAAGTTAAGCCAATCATTAAGTCTCTTCAAAGCTAATCAGACAATAAATACAATAGTGAACTCACTTAATATCCGATTATTTTTTCAAATACGAATTTTATAATTCTTCTAGTTGTTTGAATTACTAACTTTTAAAACGATAACTGATATCTTATTCACTAAACTTGAAATCGATTTTATTGTTCGATTTTACAATGTGGAAACTTAATGTTCTACATATTTGCTAAATTCATTCATTGTTCTATAATCGTTCGTGCTCCCTCTCTATTTGAGCAACAAGAAATATCGAATAAGAGTTTCCCTTAATTCAACGCACTTAAATCTTAGCTCGTGCAATTATTTCCCCGATTCTCTATCATATCATATCAAATCAATTAATAATTTATTTTTACAAATAAAAAATAAAAACATCTTTTAAGTATTGAATTATATGTTTGTATGTTAGCATTGCAATAGATTATATATTTACAAAAACAATGATTAAAAATTACTTTGAGTCTATAAATTTATATGAATGTAATAATTTAATTTTTAAATTTTAATCGGTATAACGTAATTTCTATATTATTAAATTTGTAACAGTTTGGCTATGTAACAATATAGTCCATGCTTATCTCGATTTGAAAAAAAATCTATAAAATTAAATATTAAACTTTAATATATAAAAAATTAAAAGAGAGTTAAATTACAAGTTTAGTCTCTAAATTTTAAAATTTTAAAAGTGTTTTATTTTTTTTAATGCTTAAACTTTTAATTTTAATTCAAAATTATTAATGTTAGATACAATAAACTTAGTAGAATAAATTCATAAAATTTTAAAAAGTAAATTAATGGAATTTAATAGAAGAAACATTATTTGTTTTACCAAAAATAAATAAATAAATAAATAAAAGTATGTGTCTCTGTAAACTAATAGATGTAAACAAGTCTCCAAAGAAAACGCGTCTCTCCTTTTCCCCATTTTTGGCCTTCTTTTTTGGTGCTTTTATGCCCACCCTCTCCTCTCTCTCTCTCTCTCTCTCTCTCTCTCTCTCTATATATATATATATATATATGTGTGTATGTAATCCTTCCCCAACCTCTGCACTTCACCAATCCCACCAAAACCCATCAAAAAACCCACCATGCTTCTCTCTCTCTTCTACATCTCTCTACTCTCTCTCTCCTTCTCCCACTCCCATTCTCTCCCCCTCTCCTTCCCTCTTTCTCTCTCTAAACGCCCCTCCCCTGTTTCTCCTCTCTTCTCTTCTCTCTCCTCCTACGGCTCCGTCAAGCTCCCCTTCAAATACTCCACCGCCCTTGTCGTTTCTCTTCCTATTGGAACGCCGCCGCAGCCCACGGACTTGGTTTTGGACACCGGCAGCCAGCTTTCTTGGATTCAATGTCACCGCAAACTTCATAAGAAATTGCTGAAGCCCAAGACGGCGTCGTTTGACCCTTCTCTCTCCTCCTCTTTCTCTCTCCTCCCTTGTAATCATCCTCTCTGCAAACCCAGAATTCCTGATTTTACCCTTCCCACTTCTTGTGACCAAAATCGCCTCTGTCACTACTCCTACTTCTACGCTGATGGCACCTTGGCCGAGGGTAATCTCGTAAGAGAAAAATTCACCTTCTCAAATTCCCGTACTACCCCTCCTGTCATCCTTGGCTGTGCTCAAGCCTCCACTGAAAACAGGGGTATTTTGGGAATGAACACTGGACGTCTCTCCTTCGTCTCCCAAGCCAAAATCTCCAAATTCTCCTACTGCGTTCCCGGTCGAACCGGACCGGATTCAACCGGGTTGTTCTACCTTGGAGACAACCCGAATTCTGCCAATTTCAAATATATATCCTTGTTGACTTTCCCCAAAAGTCAACGCTCCCCGAATCTCGATCCACTGGCGTACACCCTCCCACTTAAGGGCATAAAAATTGCCGGGAACCGTCTCAATATCTCATCGGCCGTTTTCAAACCGGATAGGAGCGGGTCCGGTCAAACCATGATCGACTCCGGTTCGGACCTCACTTACCTAGTGGACGAAGCGTACGAGAAGGTTAAAGAAGAGATAGTCAAATTAGTGGGGCCCTTAATGAAGAAAGGGTACGAATACGCCGCCGTGGCCGACATGTGTTTCAACGACGGCGAGACAGCAGAGGTGGGTCGGAGGATTCGCGACATGTCGTTCGAGTTTGAGAATGGGGTGGAGATTTCGGTGGGGAAAGGAGAGGGGGTTTTGACGGAAGTGGAAAAAGGAGTGAAGTGTGTGGGGTTTGGACGGTCGGGAAGGCTTGGAATTGCGAGTAACATAATCGGAACCGTCCATCAGAAGAATACGTGGGTAGAATATGATTTGGCCAATAGGAGAATAGGGTTTGGTGGAGCCGACTGTAGCAGATTGAAGTGATGATGGACGATGGAGATTTCTACACGTGTTAGGGTTTGTGGAGGGTTCTAGAAGATGTTTGTATAATCATCATATTTTATTGAGCTGTGTGTATATAAATATGTGTGTATAGTTTCATACTTCATATAATAAAACAAAAATTTGTTGCTCAGACTCCATGTAATAAGGTTATAATATAAGGTTTATTGCAGAAAAATATGATTTAATTACACATAATAAGGTTATAATATAAGATTTAATTAGACATAATAAGGTTATAATATAAGGTTTATTGCAGAAAAATATGATTTAATTAGACATAATAAGGTTATAATATAAGATTTAATTAGACATAATAAGGTTATAATATAAGGTTTATTGCAGAAAAATATGATTTAATTAGACATAATAAGGTTATAATATAAGGTTTATTGCAGAAAAATATGATTTAATTTGGGTGGGAAGCAAAAGACATCTTACTATTCAAAATTAAACTCTGTTCCTATCTGCCGACCTAAACAAATCCCACAAAAGAATTAAAAAATAATAAAAATTATTATATATTTTAAAAAATAAAAAATAAATAAACCATTAACCTGAATTATTCCCGACACACACATGATTAGATATGTTGGGGTTCTTGCTCCATGTTTACGTTTGACACGTGGCACTTCCTAACATATTTCCTTCCATTCACTTCTTTTTAGGTTTTTTATTTACTTTTTTAAAGTGTTGTATTTCTATTTATGCATCAATTTTTTCGTGGATTAAAACAAAAAAGTTACTTTTTTTTTTTTTTTTTTTTTTTTTTTTTTTTTTTTTTTTTTTTTTTTTTTTTTTTTTTTTTTTTTTTTTTTTTT